ATTTTATTATATCCATGAGGAATATATATAATATATCTGGATAAACAAAACTGTAATATTATGAGGCTGTACTTAACTTAACCTAATCTWACTTAACATACAAAACATATATTTGCAATGTTCAGTCCCGACTACTGTTGCTCTCTGTCTTATACGCAATAATCGACTTTTGTGAACTTTACGATGATCACACAGCTTATTCTGTGCATTCATTTTCTAATTTACATATCATAATCATGATATCGTGCCATATACGGTGTGATTGATAAAATATTTTTTATTTCGATGCATTTTTCAAAAGCTTTTAGCTATATTTGTCATTCTGTCATTCATTCATTGTTAAATATAAACTATTTTTTTTTTTATTGTTAAGGCTAATGTTGCTCAAATAAAGTGGCTTTAGAGGCTATTAATATCAATATAAATTTTGAACCAAATTAAGTTTAGTATCAATTCATCCTAATTCATTTTTTTTTCAAATTTGTGTTGTAATGTTTTGAACTTGAAAATGATTGAAAACTTAAATTTTGAGGCGACCGATAAATGCATTGGTTTATATTTTGAATTTTCTAATGGAGTATCTATGTGTTTTTTTTTTTTTGTATCCGTTTTCATATTTATAAAATATCATTAACGTATTTTAGTTATGTTTCCATTTGTAAGGGATGGCAAAACTTTTTTGGGTCACGWGCCCAAAAATTTTACTTGAAGTGTCTAAAAAATTCAAGTGCCARTAATAAGTTTAGAGGTTCACAGTTCACAGTTTTCCAAAAATGTTATTGTATTTTTTTAATGTCAGCTGTTAATTTTATTAATCTATTATAATGTTTTAATGAAAATCAAGATCATTAGCTTCATACAACAAAGTATTAGTCCTTTGTTTTGATATAAAATAATTAATTGTAAAAAATAAACTTTCACAAAGTATATAGATACCTTAACTTAACCTATTGACGCGAGTATTAATACTTTATTTATGAATAACTTTTTAAAAAAATTAATAAGAAATAGGTATTGTGTCTGGAAACAGTGATGAGTTTTATATTTTTTAATTTATGACTTAATTTTTTAGAATAATAAATATTTTTTTATTAAACGCAAAATTAAACAATGAAATACAATAGCAACAATAATATTGATAAATTGATAAGTGATTACAGATTTTTTAATTTAATTATTCACAATAAAATATTTATGAAGTCCCTAAATATTTACTCGTTCGTATGAATGTATTATTGTACAAGCTATACAATTTATTACTATTTATGTCATAAAAAAAAAGAATAATTAATATTAAATATTATTGATAGGCGCGGGTGTTCTAGAAAAAATCGATACGTCTGTTGTGCAGTGTAATTTATTGACGTTTTTGAAGTGAAGTTCTTAAAGTCTCTTTATTCTAGACTTGTTATTAGTCCTTGTAGATCTAACCGTGAGTCTTTATAATAACAACAAACTGGCCTTATGCCAATATCGTTATTATTTTTTCTATTATCAGCTGTACCATAATTCAGAACGATGAATTGCATACACATACACACGTACACACAAACAAACATTGCCTTTTATTAAATTTATAGATGAATAAAACACACTTAAATACTTGATACTTGCTCATTAACTAGGTGACTATAACTAACACCATATTTAAGCTGTGAGACAATTTATAATATTATTGTACCAAGTACCAACTGTACAAATAACCTTTTTTCGACGCGACTGCATCACGACAATAACACGTGGAAAACGGCCAATTTGAACGCACGTCGTACAATTTCATATAAATATATTATAGGGCTGGATTTATATGTGTGTGGGTAGAATATTTACGTGCGCCTAGTGCGATTCGTTGTACAGTGAAGTGCTTATAAACGTATGATGTTTACTTTGGTTTTGAGTGGGTGGCGGAGGTGATAAATGGACACCCACCGCGGATAGGTATAAGAATATATTAGTTGGGCACTTCATGTGCCTACGGCCTACCTATAATAATGTATCCAAGTACCATGCTTAAACATTTTTCAAGAGCATGCCCCTCCCMCCATATTATTACGTAACGAAGCTAATGCATCAGCGTGATTTGTTCAACAGGAAACACTCTTGATTTCAATATATATATATATATATTAATATTTATATCATCCATACTTCATGTTGTTTATTAAATTATATTTATTTTTTTATTTTTTGTGAATTTAAGATGGGTTCTGCGCACAATCCCAATATTTTATATTTCGACCCTTATTAGTTATTATTACTTATTGTTATTACTTTATTAGGCGGAAATATGAAAATTTATCAACTTAGCAACGTTTGATTAAAAACGGCTACAACGTATATTTTTGATTTCGTGAAAAAGATTGCCTTAAAAAATCAAACATGGCATGAAGTTTTCTTTTATAAATATTTAAAGCTAGATAAGCGTGTTGGGTTATCTTTCGTACAACAGATTTTGATCTATTGGTTTTTACAACTGTATGTGGTATGATTACTAATTTATATTTGTATATAGTAAGTAATTAACACCACTGCATATATTATGCTGTATTTTGTCATATCATAATTTGGGTCATAAAATATTACATTTGATCAGATTTAGAAAATTGATGAATTGGTAAATGGAAAGGATTTAACAAAACTGATGCATTCAATACCAGTGACGCGATGATGTAAGTTTTTGAAAATTCAAAACATAACTATTAGCGATGGCTATTAATATTCAAATTTACTTTTTTTTTTTTTTATTAGCTTTTAGTCAGAGACTGACAGCTCGTCAATTATCGATTACACAAACATACAAAAATTTACAAAAATTTACTTTTTATCGATGACGATATTATATGACGTGCAGTCACGCGTGTACACTGAACTTATACTTCTAAATTGTTATTTGTTAATAATATTGCTATTAATGTGATTAATCTTTGGAATATCTATAATAGCCGCTGAACCGTTCATTTGAAGCTACAATAGTTGCAAACAATTAATAAGGTTTTTACCTAATTGACTATTATTATTCGTATCGGGATTACGAGTGACAACAAAACAATTTAATGTGAATAATTTTTTTTTTTTTTTTTAATTAAAAGTCCAAGTAGTAGAATTGAGATAGTGCAGTCTTGTAAAATATTTTTTAAATTCAAGAAATATTTATTTTTGCTCAAAACTTATAAAAAAAAAAAAATTGAAATTCTTTATTTTGAATTTTTGGTTACGATTATAAATCATGTTTTGGGGTTTTTTTTAAGTCATTACCAGCCCTTAATTTCGTTTCGTATCTATAAATCACAGTTTCGCTCGTGATATTAAAGTTCAGTGGTGGGTTTCAGGCGAAGGGGCGAAGGGGGAGGGGGGCGTACACCGAGGCCAATAAGTACGATCGCCGTCCATATAGTATAGTAGTAATTATGGCTCATCGGGTATTATTGGATCTCTGCAGCGGCGCYCGAAACCGTTACAAGGTTTGACGAGGATAGCAGTAAAATAAACCACGATGACTCTCACTTTCTTCGGGAAGTGGTTTAAGATATATATAGGCATAATACGTAATAATATTATTTACGTTTATCATATTACATTTTATCGGCACGTCGGCCGCGATAATATATATATATATATATATATATATATATATGTTATATGCTTAGGCATCCACGACGAGGTTATTAGCCGATACAAATTATTCAACTACAATTATTATTATGTACAGTTACTTGGTGAGATCAGTTTTATTTATAAATTTSGTTAGCGGGTGTCGGTCGACTGCTCAACTGTTTTTGCTGATGATTCGAAGATTTTACCCCTAGAGGAGATGAAGCCGATATTTTCTTATGTTTATACATTATTGGGTTTTTTCGACTGCAACAAATATTATACTAGCTGTGAAGCATACGAGTATCTTATCTTATCTGTTTTATTATTTAGTTGAAATTTTATTTACCAATAATTTTACCATAGCAAGATCTGCCATTTTTCTAGTTTTGGCCAAYCGGCATATTATAATAAATATTGTAGGGGGTGTAGTGGACTGGCGGATTAAGGCGTCGATTGCTACGCGCACCGTCGCCAGTTCGATTCCCGGTCATGGGCGGCATCGCTTTCCGGGCAGTTCATGCTGTCTGGAAAGTGAGCCCCCC